ACCTACCCAGTCGCCAACTGGCCATCCAGCACTGGCAAAGGACGTCAGGGGGAGGGGGAGGGGGAAGTCTGAGGCTCCTCTCTCAATCCAATCAATCCAAGCCTGGGAGCCAGCCAGCTCAGCAAGCGTCCGAGGGCCTGCTATGCAAAAGGCATAGGGTCAGTAGGTTTAGAGTTCATAGGACATGATCTCTGCCACCCAGAAACTCACACGCTCCTACCTGTAATACACAAACCATGACAGAAGTATAAGGCTTAATTGCATGCAGAGCGAAAAGGGGCTAATTCCAACTAGTGACTACGGGAGGTGGAGTTTACAGCCTTCAATAGTGAGTAGAGATCCCCGAAGTAAACCTGGGGTTGGAGGTGTGAGTGCTGAAGGCATGCCCCCAAAAAGTCAAGGACTCCTCCAGGGAAGAATGGCAAGCGGTCTGATTTAGCTTGCTGTATGTAATACTTGGGAACAAGACTTGTCGGGGGGTGGTAAGAGGGGTGCCTCCCGCGTCCAGCTAAGAAATTCAGGGTGTGACGGGAAACCACTGAAGGCGTCTCAGAAGAGTGGCATGATTAGCTCTGTTTCAGGAAAGTAATTCTGGCTGCAGGTGGTAGGATGGACTGAGAGGCAATGCAGTCAAGATGGGGGTCCTCGGGGCGCCTGGGGGGCTCCGTCAGTTAGGGGCCTGACTTCAGCTCAGGCCATGATCTCACCATTTGTGAGTTCGAGGCCCGCCTCGGGCTCTGTGCCGACAGCTCAGAGCCTGGAGCCTGCTTCAGATTGTGTCTCCGTCTCTCTCTGCCCCTCCCCTGCTCATACTCTGTCTCTCTCTCTCTAAAATAAATAAACATTAAAAAAATATATACTTTTTTAAAGATAGGGTTCCTCAAACCTGAGGAATGGATTTCCTTTCCCACTAGGGGAGTGGTTTATTTGGACAACACTGGGTAAGTCAAGCGGCAGAGTCCATTTCAGACTAAGGGGGTCTTCAGCCGCTTGAAACCAACCACAGCGATATTTATTTGGATGCTGCAGTGTAACCAGCCCATTCCCGCTCTCCCTGCCCTAGGCCAACTTTCCACCTTTGTGCTTGAATGGCACACCACTCACAACGGCCCCGCCTTGCAGTTAGGATGAAATTATATTTTCTCACGAACTTTCACACTAATATCAGTCTCAGAAAAATGCCTTGGGGGGGGGGGTGCGGCACCGGTGCGGCAAGGGGAGGAGCACCTGACAGTCTTATCTGCATTTTCCCACTGAAGATGGGCCCGGGTTACTTCGTGTAGAGCAGACGGCAGCCCAGGAGGCCTCCAAGTCCATTTGATTTCTATGTAAAGAAGTGTTTCTCTTTCCCAAACCCAGAGATGATGTATGTCACATCATATCAATTCGACTCAAAGAAAGCAAGATCCTTGGCTTAAAAATGGACTCACTGCTACAAGGAAGGATTATACATCGTCCTTGGGAAAGGATGATGGCCCTATCCGCTTCCATTTACAAACTTCAGGCACAGTATATTCAAGTTAGATTTATGATGCCACATTAATGGGATGTTCAAAATAAAATAGCCGGGGCACACAACACATTCTGTGACCTGCTAACGCTTCTCAAAATCGCATCATGGCCGATACAAAGAATTATTTCCCCAACAAAAATAAGACCCTGACTCAGGGCCAGGTTCTGCACAGCCAGCATTTTGGGGGTGGGAGTGGGGGGGGAGATCGTTGAATTAATGCTTGTCACACCACTGTGTGGCGTGTTACTATACCCATATAGTATATTGACATAAACTAGGTTTACAAGTTCTGAAATAAATTCCGGGCTGCACAAACCCAGCATCGACAAGGGACTCTGGTGATTTTTCCCGATTCCTAAATCTGTGTAGAAAGGCAGCTCAGGAAGGGCACGTTTTTTTCTCGCCGACCCCCTGCGGGTAACACCTTGGGCCTTTAGGCCTTTGCTGCTGCTGGGGTTTAGAGATTTAAGTGAAGTTGCAGATTTCCAGAAACTGGTTTGAATTTTGCAAATTAACACGGAGTTGTTACTTTGGGCTAGTTTCACTGATCAGTACCACAAATAAAGGCAGAGAGCTATACCTAACTGCTGTCAGACCTTTGATCATAAAAGTAAAAGGAAGCAGAGGATTGCGGCTCACATGTAATAAACACATCTCCAAATTATTAAAAAGGCATTTTATTATAAATACATTTTAGTTGTAGCAGTAAAATACATTTTGTGTTACCATGAATCTTTTAAGACAAAAGAACTTCACTGAGACAATGATCACAATGTAAGAACTGTAGCCCCCCCCCCCGCCCCCAAATGGAAAAATTTGTTCTAAGGAACCAAAGCAGCTAAAGTAATTCCAAAACCTGGTTAGAAAACGATTTAAAAAAAAAAGAAAAAGAAAAGAAAAAGACCCTAGAGAGTGGCTTTGGGGTTATTTTATGGTACAAAGTCATTTTTACTTTTAAGGATAAACTCTTTAGGTATCAGAACCTCTCAGAAGAGGTATCGTTAAAAGAAAAAATAATTATTATACTCTCGCCAGAAATTATGATTATTTGATGGCTATACAACTGGTCCTCTGAAGAGGTGGAAACAGACCATCTCATATGTAGCCTCCCTCTCAGAAGGCTTGACAAAATAAGACGCCGTATGCATTTACTAAGTGATTGTATGAAGTTAGCTGAACAAAAACTGTATTTTTGAAGCATTAAAACAAAACAACAACCACCTGTCGCTAATAACAGGACCCATTTAATAAAATGCAAAACCCATTACCTTTATAATTTAGAGGAGAGGTATTTTAATCACCATCTTTACCTAGGATACAGCTACTACATATAACCAGTACCTTCATGGGTTCAAAGAATCAGGTCAGATGACTGGCACAGAGAGCGGATACAGTACAATGTCACATACATGGACTGATGGGAAGCAGGCATGGCCTGGATATATGGAAATCCAAGACCCTTCCTCCGTATGGGGGGATGCAGGGCTGAGAAATATTCTCAGGCAGAACCCACACGTGGGGACTTCAACCTGGACACAAGAGCCCTCTGACCTATTGAAAGGCAGAAAGCGGTCTTCGTAGCCAAGGCATCGTGCAAAGCAAAATGTAAATAAACCAGAGCTCCCTGTGAGTCGGAAATGGACAAAGTAACCTGTGCTGAACATAGAGACAGCCCCACTGAAGGTCATCGAGCCTCTCAAGGAGGAAGTCCGTGCGCTCTAGGGTACTTTCCGCGTGTGCGTCTACATCTAAGCCGTCCTATAATCTATTACCTTAAAATATTTTTTCTCTTTCTAATATCTCAGTTAATTCAGAGCCAAGTTAAAAACCAGAGGCAGAGCCCAGTGCCCCTTAAGCTGCAGGCCGGGGTGGGGGTGGGGGAGAGCATTAACAACAATGACAGTAATATATGAATTTTAGAAAGACTTGTCAGATTTATCGTATTATAGGCAGTTTCTTTCTCAAAAATAACTTGCTCATACATGTGCACCTATGGTTATGAATAACTCATGCTGTGTAGCTGGGAGATTTCCCCTAGACTGTTTTTGCAAACATATATGGATTTTTTTTTTTTAAAGTAGCAAAGTAATCAGAAACAATTATCCATTTTCTGCCATATGCAACGCTTCAGGCTCCCCTAACACCTGCCGGCATGGCAGAGTATCCAAAATAACTTTGTCAACCTGAGAAACACATCATTTGAAAAGCAAATCCCTTACCTTCATCCCCACCCTCCCACCCCCACCAAAAAAAGCCATAAGAACTACGAACACATCACTTGGGGATTACCTACTGTTTCCCATCCCCCATGCCACTGCCACCCTGAGATGGGGCCTCCTGTACGTGGCGCCTCTCGTGATGCTCTGATGGCTTCCTTTTACAATTCTCACCTCCACGTGTACACATCAAGACCAAGTCTAAGCACAGCTTCCGAACAAAGCCCGGGCTGCAAGGTACCCAAAACCAAACTCACCCGAGAAAGGAATGAGCGCCTGCACCCTAAGATAGACAAGTATGCACAGACCTTTGGGGGGGGTTGGCAGTTGGAGGGGGGGCAGTGGCGGTGGCCAATCCAGAGGCTCTGGTCACTCCTTAGAGATCTTTCTCCATGAATGTTCCACTCGTGGCATCAGAATTATTAAGATGTCTCAAGTGACCAGTTGTTCACACTGAGTAAAGAAATGCAAGTTAGGAAAGACCTTCCGTCTTTCTCTAGACCAGCGACTCTCAAAGTGTGTGGTTCCTGCGGCAGCGGCAGCAGCATCGCCTGAAGATTTGCTGCAAATGCAAATGCTCAGGCTTCAGCCTGGGATCAGAAACTCTGGGGTGGGGTCCGGCGGTCCGGAGTTCAGGGAGACCCCCAGGAAATTCTGATGCTGGCTCAAGTCTGAGAGCCACTGCTCTCCCCTGCTCCAACTTCTAAACTCGTACAACAGGACATAGTTTTAAACAGACGCTATTGGGTGACTTCTGTGTTGAAACTATTTGCTACCCCCTTTTACTTCTCAAACACCAAAGTATTAATGAAAAATTTCATTTCAAAAAACCAAATTTCTTTTAAAGAAGCGATATTGATTTCCCCTCCTAGACATAGTTCTGAGGCAGGCAGTCACATGCAAAATAAAATACAGAAGAGGCCTCCCATATGAGGTGTAGAAAGAGCTACAAAGATACCCTCAGAACATAATGAAAATTCCATAATATTGTTTAACGAACTCATAGAATTATATAAAACTTACTATGCTTTATGCTTAATATTTGTATCAAAATAAAATCTCTCTGTTGAACAAATTGCAAATAAAGTCTGGTCTAATACTCTGATTACTGAAACTATATGTATATGAATGTCTCTGGGTTTTCTTCACGCTTCAGTTTTAGAAGCTTCAGACTACTGTATAACTGGGTTTGGGATTTAACCACAGCTCACATTACTAAGTCTTGATTCTTCTATCAGGTACCTCCCTTCAAAAAAATTTAGAAACTTCTGTGACTGTTTCCTTAAAGTTTATTCCAAAGTAGATATGTTCCATCATTTCTAAAATCTCAAACGTTACATTAAAAATGTCTCACTTTTTTAATGTTTGATGTTCTAGTTTAAAGTAACAACAATACATTTTCTGAATGTGTCTTAGAAGAATGTTAAATGTTAGTAAGATTCACTCCTTTTAACAACGGTCTTGAAACTGCTAATTAAACAGATGTATGAAAGTAGTTAAGTGTGAAGTTAGCAGCTTTACAGTAAAATCTCAGCAAATAAGTATCCAACTTCAAGTAGAAGGGAAATGCGAGACGCCTAGTAGAACGAGCACTCGGAAGACTGGCATGCCCTTTACTCTGCCATGACGGTCGGTAGCTTTATAACAGAACAACGTCACTATGTCTGAACAAGAAATCGTAGAACGTTATCCATGATTTCTAGTTATTGGGTAGTTTGTGGCAAAGAGGGGAGAGAAAAACCAGATCTATTAATACATTTGCTTTGAGATTTAGGAAGACACAAAGGGTGGTGGGAGAAATTAAGGGTTCTCTTATGTTGGGGGGGGCGGCTCACAAGAAATGATGATAAATCACGGTAAATCATAAAGGACAAATTACTACCTTTGTGGGGTTAGAAGGAAAAAAAAAAAAAGGACAGTAGCCTAAACAACATTTTAAGGCAGCAATTTATATCTTTCAGTATATTTAAGGTTTCAGTCATGTGTTCTTAAACTTTTTCTGGGATTACCTTTTTAAGGACAACTCCAATGTGAAACATTATCTAAGTATAACAGGTGTCTCTTCTTAAATGACTATTTCAGTAAATCTGATTTTCTTAATAACAACAGCTGAAATCTAAAATTTGTCTTGAAACTGTTCACACCCTGGCTCTCAGGCCAGGGTGGCTCTCTCTAGCAAGGGAGCTAGAGATATATTCTCATATACTTATGGTTTTGCTCTCAAGATGCAGATACATGAAAAATATTAAACATGTAAAGTAACTACACTAGAACAAGATAAGACTATATGTTAACTGTCTCAAAGTGAGGAAATTCAGTTAGCTTTCTCAGCAATTTCAACGCCTCCATAAACAAGGGAACTATTTTCACAAATAGGTCTTGGAGATTGCTATGTTTAATTAGGTAATGCTTATTCAGTGGGAATTCTGCTTATTTTACTTATTCTGCAATTCTTTGAACTGCAAAGACCAATTGATGTTTACACCGAACCTGAACTTATTCTAGAATCTCTCATGAAAAAAACCACGCAGAGCAGTTTGTTATTTCACATATACAAAATGACCTGGATAGAAAGCGTTATCTGTCTGAGGAAAGGAAAATTAAGGTCACGTTAGTTTAAACGGTCAATAATTAACTACTGATTAATCAGAAACAAAGCTCTGCTGTAACAATTTGGCAAAGCATGTGCCAAAATAGGAACCAAAGCCCCTTTGAAAAGCAACACCAGAAAATACCCACGTCACACTGAATGAGGTTTTTCAAATCTTAAAAATATTATTTTTAGATCAGCAAAGAAAAAAAAACTTTAGCACAAATACTCTATAAATTCTATCCACCAAATCTCAAGTAGCACTGAAAGTAAAAAGCGAGATGCGTTAAAAAAAAAAAAAAAAAACTGTACTGGAAGAAAAGGAAGCTGGTAATACTTGGTATCATCCAAGAGCTAACATCAAGTTTTCTTAAAAAAAAAAAAAAAAAAAAAAAGGCAGTTCCATCTGAACACTAAGGTTGAGAATCTAGCATGTCAGTTGTTTGCTCAGTCTGCTTTGTGGGCGCTTGCTAATTCCTACCCAAGGAGCACCCAGCCGGCGGGAGTGGTACCACCCAAGCAGCGGGAGCAGTACTCGGAAGCCACGCCTCATCCCAACAGAAACTTACGAGTCAGAACCTTCTTACGAGTCCTGCGGTTAAGACTTGCTCAGATCCTTCAGGCCATGTTACGCATAAATAACAGATTCAAAGCCCGGCCGGAAAGACGGCATGAAGTAACACCGAGGAAGAGTAAATGAGTTAGCACACACATTCGAAACAGAATCTGAAAGGGCAGGAGATGGAAACAATATCCAAATCCTTGGCTCCCCTGTTAAGAACTAGAAGATGAGGAACACTGGGTCACAGCAGAGCGGGGAACTAATAAGTAGCTAATATTTTTAGTTTTTTGTAAATAACTTCTTAAAACAGGGACGTCACAACAACTTAGCAGCTTCCTTCTCCCAGGCTTCCAACATCGGTATCTTTACATAACGTGGTGGGGTGTGCACCTGACCTCTTTAAATATAAATACAAATAATTTAAAACTGATATTGTTTTTAAAGGTTCAAGTATGGAAAACAGAAAATCAGGCAATTACTCCATGACAAGGAATTAACTAAAAGCCTTGACATGCCAAGTCTGTCTTCATAGTCTCAAAATGCTCTTAAACATTTATCTGACTTGCATTGCAGGGGAGAAGAATCATGGTTGGAAAATGATTTTTCACAGACATCCTCCCATCAGGAAGATCTAATTTTAATTTGGGCTCTATCTCGAGTTTCGTCATAGAGTCGAAATACAAAAACTCCTTGTGACTACAGTTACGTTGCGGAAAATGTGACACAGTTAAAGGTCTGACATCACACAGAGAACATGTGGTGCTGTAACTTGCTGCCTCTGCTTTCCAGCTGTGGTTTATACGAACTATTACCACGTCTCCAGCCCACAGGCCTCCAGCCGCGGCCTCACAGGGAGACCCACAGCCCTCGCTCTAAGCAGAAGGACAGAACCGAAGAAAACAGGGGCTGTTCCTCTTCCTGCAGGCTTGCGAACCCTTAACTAAAGGCATTCTCTTCTCCTACACTGTCTAAGGCTTACAGGGGCTGTGGCTGGCCGACAGCAGTAAAACTCCCGCCACGGAAGAGATGTGAGGGTCTTCTTTACCCCTGGGACCACTTTTCAACCCCGTTTCAAAAACCGTCCTGTGAATACAGGGTGGCCTATTCAAAAGGAGTCCTCCAGAAAACTATGTCTGAATGGGTCATCAGGATTCACTGGTTCACTAGCAATGGTTCCAGACTTTATCTTATTTCAAAACAAAACAAATCAACAATAACAAAAAGTTATACTGTAGTTTCAAGATCTCTCTGAAGTACAGAAAGTAGAGCTACTCAATCAGGAAAACAATAAGGGCATGCGCTGTTTCAAGGGAGTTACAAGATCACAAGTTTTAAGAGGGCAAATGTTTTCCTTTGGATTCTCCCAAAGTTCATTCAAAACCATTTTTAGACTGTAGAATATTTAAGATGGCTACTTAAATTTTGTATTTGTATACAAGTTCAGCGGGATTATTTTGTAAGAATCCAAAGACATGAAAAACAAGGGTAGTTTTTTGCCCCAGATTTTGATGAATTTTGATACATGTTGGACAAACATTATCTTTTTAATGATGTTCCTTAAACAAAACAGGTAGCAAAATATCTGAATTGCCATGAGTAATGTCACATTTTAATGTAAACATCAAATAAGGTACCAAAATTTTTACTCGAGGGGGAAAAAGAAAAACAAACCTTAAAGCGGCACAATTCTTTATACCACTGGAGGGGGAGAAAGCCAGATTACAAACATTTACACATGCATAGTGAGAAAAAAAGGATTTTACTAAATTCACGCATTTTTAAAATAGTTATCAAGTCTACTAAGCACCAACAATCCTAAAAATTTTTCAGCTTCATGATTTGTTTAAAAAAAAAAAACCACACACACACACACACACACACACACACACACACACACACTCACTATCAAATTAACGTTAAAAACAAGCTTGAAGTACAGCTTGTCCAAAAAATAACTAACTATGCCAATGTTTTTTCATGTTACAAAAAACAGTGGCATACAAAATACATCTGCAAAGAATGCCTTTGACTCTATCCTACAGTGGATGGAGATTACAACAGCACATCATACAGAGTCTAAAACTATAAAAGTTTTAGAATGCAGCATCTTGTCACCAAAAAAAAAAAAAACAAAAACTGATAAAACTTAAAGTATTTAGAAGATGCTGCCCCTTTATTTTAAAAAATTTTAAATGAATTTAAGCAAAAATAACATACATTTGTACATCAACTGGCCATTTCTGGTACAGAAACCCAGCATATGGTAATATTATTGAATAAATGTAAATGCTACTTACAATTTTTTTTCTTTTTAAATACATTTTAGACAAAGTTTTTTTTTCTTTTTTTTTTATAGTTTCACAATTAACTCTTAGCTGCTAGCTTGATGCAAACATATGTAACAATACACAAATTTAAAAATATTTTTATTCTACATAAAAGCTGTCGAAAGACTCACGTCAAAAATGCAAAATAATGGAATATACTTTTAAAAAATTAGTTGCAAGTCTAGCAGCAAAGCAATTAAGTGAGAACATATTTAATATTAAAACAAAGGGAACTGTGCATCTACAGATGAAGTCCAACTATCTTAATTCTATTCATACAAACAGAAATCAAAACATTCGCCCTTGAGGGGGGAAAAAAAGTGATTATTTAAAATAGGAGTAAAAGCCATTGCTGCCTGATGAGCTCCCCAGGCTAAGTTCCTGGAACAGAGACAGAGGGTCGCTACTCTTCTTGGCCTGCTCGGGCTGGGGCCTGGGCTTGGGAGGGGCCCGCAAAGCGCTGGCATAGGACATGGCAGGCTTGCTGCCCCCCGCGCCCTGCTGGCTACTGCTGCTGGCCGACTCCGCGATCTGCTTGTTGGGCATGAGGGGGGGGAACTGGCCGAGATGCTGCAGCACATTATAGTTGAAGGAACTGGACACCTCGAGGTTCTCAGACTTCAGCTGATCCTCAGGGGGTTTGACGGTCTTGGGTGGTGGAACTAAAAGCAGAGAACAATAACACGGATTTAAGGGAGCGCCCGGCAGTGTTTGTGCATCTCCGTTAGCTCAGGGGGTCACAGCTGGCTGCCGTCCCCAGGAACTCCGTGACAGTGTAGCCACAAGGACAGTCAACTTGCGCCACAGAACGTGGAAATCACAACACCTCGAATCAAACTTCTCAATCTTACTAATAACTTGCAAAAGAACTGACTATGTAAACGGAACAGCTAACATATAAACACTAAAGGTCAAATCTGAAGGTTTGCTTCACAAAACTAATTTTATAATTATACATTTTGATATTTAATATATTTAACTGCTCAACTTTGAATATGGAAACTTACCTGTTCTTTCTTACGTAAAAAGGAGCTGTATATGCAGACTCCCGGTCAAAACAGCTTTTATCACTAACCTAATAACAGTAACCTTGGATTCCATTTCTTAAAAATGTTCTCTCCTTGTAATATATAAGTAAACATACAATAAGGTAGGGGAGAAACAACTATTAAATTTTACTTCACATTCCCTATATGTAATATGATTTTTAACATCCTTTAAAATTTGACCCCACTCAAACAGAACTACCCTACAACCCAGCAGCGAAAACTACTAAGTATTTATCCAAGGGATACAAGAGTGCTGCTTCAAAGGGGCACACGCACCCCAATGTTTACACCAGCGCAATCAACTATAGCCAAAGTATGGAAAGAGCCCAAAGGTCCACTGACTGATGGATGGATAAAGAAGATGTGGTGTGTGTGTGTGTGTGTGTGTGTGTATGTGTGCACACACACACATACATACATACACACACAATGGAGTATTACTCAGCAATCAAAAAGAATGAAATCTTGCCATTTGCAACAATATGGATGGAACTAGAGTGTATTATGCTAAGTAAAATAAGTCAGAGAAAAATAAATATCATATGACTTCACTCATATGTGGAATTTAAGATACAAAACAGATGAACATAAAGAAAGGGAAACAAAAATAATACAAAAATAGGGAGGGGAACAAAACATAAGAGACTCTTAAACACAGAGAACAAACTGAGGGTTGCTGGAGGGGTGTTGGATAGGGAGATGGGCTAAATGGGCAAGGGGCAGTAAGGAAGGCACTTGTTGGGTTGAGCATTAGGTGTTATATGTAAGTGATGAGTCACTAAATTTTATTCCTGAAATCATTATTACACTATATGTTAACTAACATGGATGTAAGTTTAAAAAAAACAATAATAGAAGAAAAAAATTTTTTTAATAAAATAGGGATGCCTGGGTGGCTCAGTCAGTTGAGCGTCTGACTTCAGCTCGGGTCATGATCTTGTGGTCCGTGAGTTCGAGACCCGCATCAGGCTCTGTGCTGACAACTCAGAGCCTGGAGCCTGCTTCAGATTCTGTGTCTCCCTCTCTCTCTGCCTCCTAAGGGTCACTGCTTGTGCTCAGTCTCTCTCTCAAAAAGTAAATAAACATTAGAAAATAATAAATAATAATAAAATAAAATAAAAATAGTTTGACCCCACTCTTCCTAATTTTATTGTCCACTAAACCATGACTTATTCTCAAACACTACCTTTTTCAATCCTTAAAATGTTTAACTTGGGGCTCCTGGGTGGCTCAGTCGGTTAGGTGTCCGACTTCAACTCGTCATGATCTCATGGTTCATGGGTTCGAGCTCCTAGTTGGGCTCTGTGCTGACTGCCAGCTCAGAGCCTGGAGCCTGTCTTCGGGTTCTGTATCTCCCTCTCTCTCTGACGCTCTCCTGCTCACGCTGTCTCTCTCTCTCTGACTCTCAAAAATAAATAAAAAACATTAAAAATTAAAAAAAAATTAAAAAAATTTAAATATTTAACTAAAGCGGGAGGAAGAAAAATAATTTTCCCTCTACTCTTCTAGGTTCTTGGCTGAGATACCCCCTAAAGTAAGACAGATGAACAGGAGAAAAACAAATAAATGTTTAGTAAACATGTATACCTTCCATAGACATGAGGGAGATCCAGGAAAACTAAATAACTCCCTGAAATGGCCCAAACCAGCAATTAAAATGACATCCATAGCTAAAGACAAAAGAAGATGTTGAGTGTGTAAAGCAGTCGTGTGAGGTCACCAGGAAAAGCACAGTGAACAAGGCTGTTATGCAGGGTAAGTTAACTAAAGGGTAAATGGTCTTTTCCACTGACAGTTTCTGGAAATTTAGAATCATCCTTCTCTTCCTGGTACAGAGAGGGAGACATTCTTTCAAACAGAGACTTCCCTTGTAAATGTAAATGTCTCTTACAAAAGGGTAACTTTTACCCAGTTTTCAGAGCTTCTGTGTCTGTAGTTTCTTTTTTTTTTTTTTTTTTAATTTTTTTTTTTAATGTTTTATTT